ATTATTAATCACACAATATACTAGAATTTGTTTGCAATGTGTTTGGGTTCAAGATTTGAACACATGCGTTTTATAATTTCTACATTAATTATTCATTTAAAATGTAAAGGCTTATAGGGTTTGTTTGAAATTGAATTACTACTTAAACATTTCCTTCTAATATATATATATATATATATATATATATATATATATATATATATATATATATATATATATATATACATATTCATATATGCGCAAGTTTAAAGTTTCTATAATTAATCACGAAATGAAGTTACTTATCTATCTTAATTTGTGAGAAAAATCCCTTATTATATATCTCAAAAGTGTAATAAATGAGGTTTTGGGTTGAATAAAAAGGGTAATAAAAGCACCATTGTCTAAGAATAGTGGGAGTGGGTCGTTAAAGGCTATAAATGTTTAGGGTTGGTAAGTAATCCAAAGTTGCTACGCTAGGTCGATTCCATTCAAGTCTTGGGCCAAGTTTTCTGACATTTGCTCTTGCATTTGTGTTCTTCTTCTAGCTAGGACTGCTTGAGTACAATCTTATCATTTTATTAGCCATAGAAGATGGTTTAGGGTTAGGTAGGTTGCAACATTGAAGAGTCTAAGTTTTTGCCACTTTGGTCAAAGATTCTTGGGCTTTAAGGGACATTTTTGGGGTGAACACTTTACTAGCTGTGCCAAGTGTTTGGATAAGGGAAGTTTCAAGTTTAAGTCAAAAAAGCATCTTCCCATTGACTGAAAAAGTAAACGGATTGACACCAATGTTGTGTTGTGTGTGTAGCATGGAATGTGGTCTCAAGTCTCTTCTTCATGTGTGGGGCACTTGCAATGATGAGATGGGTGAGTGTGAGGACTTCCCTACCCTCGTTCATTTGGCTTCTTTATAAAACCATACAAGAAAATATCATTTAACTTTATGTGTCATGCACTATAACAACCATTTTATCTTATCAAGAATATTTGAACTATAATTTTAGTTCTCATGCTAAGATGGTAAAAAACAAAGAAAGAGACAAAAACCATCTAAGAATAGTTTATGGTCTAACCTACATAAGCAAGTTATGAATAGACTCTCTTTTTATTGAACAAATTGTGTCATATGTATATGTGATTGTTTTAAGCATGTAGTAAGGGGAAATGTAGGGAGAAAATTTGTCACAAAATGCTCTTTCTAAATAACTCAAATTGCCTTTTATATTTACAAATTGTTATATGTAAAATACTTTTATAAGTTTAAGGAATGTACTAAAAAAATATAATTACGCCGCCTTTTAGAATAAAAGAAAGATAAAGGTAGAAGAAGAGGCGGTGGATTTTTAAAAGGAAAGGAACGACAAAGAAAAATTAACTTTATTTTCTAAATATTTTGCTTTTCTATTTCTTTTTTCTTTTTTTCTTCATTCTTTAAAATTGAACATACTTAATTTTTTTTTTTCAAACTATAAAGTATTTACGATTTTATTTGTCTAACATAATCAATATCCTCTTGATCGACCCAAATGAATCAATTGTAATCATTTATGTTTATTGCATTTTGTCAGCATATTTATATGCATAAAAAAATAGTTAAATATTTTTCTTCATTTAAATTAATTAGAGGTTTTATGAATATATAATTATTTTCTCTTTCATTTTACTTTTGTCTGTTTTTTTATTTTTTCCTTTCTCGTTTTAATTTATTTCATCAATTATTCTATCAAACATTTCTCTCTATTTTCTTATCCATTTCTTTCTCCCATTCAAGTTCACTCAAATGGGGATGAAGGATGATATTTTTTCTTTATTCATCATGGGTTTCGGATGGATCCACAATAGACTCTCAAATTTTGTAATGACGTCATATCTACAAAGTTTTACTTGGTCAAACCTCGTGAATGGTCAATAAATAGTTAATCACATCATAAAAGAGTAACAATAAAATGAAACCAATCGCTATTCCATCACAATTTGTTAGGCGATCATGCCAAAAAATAAATATAACTACTGCTACTAGAAGAACCACGATTTTTAAATTGAATGATGTTGCGTGTGATCAAATATTAAAGATGTTTGCTTATGTTCATGCGGTTGGGGTTTGAATATGACTTCTGTAGTTTTACATAATTTTATAATAATAATGATTCAGAATTAATTAGATAAAAGAGCTGATAAATGGCCATGCTTTACTTATTCAAGCCAATTGTGACCAACCCTATCTTCATCCAATTACGAGGATTATCTACACCAATTTTTTAGGGTCCAACTGACCAAACTCGTTCCAACGTAGAGTTCAAAACCATGCTAAAACCAGACTAGGACTAGTTAATAATTTAATTTTGAGTCAATTATTAGCTGATAACCAGCGATTTTCTATAATACAACCCAGTGTTTCAAAGTGTTTAAGTAAATCCTTATGTCACAAATTTAGGTACTTCAGCTAAATTTTGGAATAAAATTCTAACATTAATACTTGTTTATTCCTTCAGCTAAATTCATATTTATACACCAAAGAGTAGTTTACATATGAAAGTATCACCATATCTTATTCGGCCTTATATTTATTGATCTCTACTATGCTATCTAATCCAGTGCAGCAAACAATGCCTTAAATAAAAACGTTGTATACCAACATTGCCCTATCTTTGCGATCAAGCATCAGATGGTATAAAAAACAGATGAGGCAGGTAAGTGCAAAGTTTCTTTTTCCTCCAGATAAATAAATTTATCAACCTAATGTGGAAACAACTAAAATACATTGAGTAGAAATTATTATTATTATTATTATTATTATTACAGAGGTACAGAGAATACACACCTACTGGCAGAAAAAAAAAATCAAAAACCAGAAAAATGACATTCTCCAAATTGTAAACTTTTTTTCAGTTAGTATAAGGTGTGATGATCCCTATAGGGTAATTATGGTATTTGACAAACAAGCTTCCTATTCTGCAAATGGCTATTTCAAAATGCCTTTTCTATTGCGCTCTCTCAAATCACTTGGTATAATAAACACAGAATCTACACAAAGCCCACCTTTGGAATGAGTACAATCAATCTGTTTCATGGAAAATCTAACTTGTGTTGTAGGCTCTGATCCACTGACAATAAACTCACCCACCTTGTAATCTACCCAGTATCCACGCTTATGATTTCCATATGGGTCATCAATCTCAGTTTCATCCAAACAGCATTCACATGATGCTTGCTGACCATCTGAAGTAGACAACTCAAATTTCACAGGTTTTATATCCCAGCCATGGATTTGTTCATAATTGCAAACACGCCGACCAAGCCTTTTCGAGAACCGTCCAAGGTGAAGCCTAAAGGAGAGAGTATAAATATCAGCAGGAAATGGAAACGTTACCTCTCCATCCACTTCAAACCACCATATTTGCTGCAAATATGCCACAGTGTGAAACCTGAAAATCATCTAAGGTGTAACAGAATGCTGACAGATTACAAGAACAAAAATGGAGAACAAAACAACTTCAACATCAAGATTTGAGAGTGCTCTAGTTTGCAAAAAGAAATGCAAACAGAATATAAGGAGTAAGTTGACATAATTAAAGTGTGACAATGAGAATTACAAATGTCTGTATATTATGTGCAAACCAACCTCCACTATATCATTAATAGAGTGGGTAGCTTGGTTCAATCAGGTTGAGCATTTCAAGGATCAGTTGTATTCAAGTCACAAATATTTGAGGGTCAACAATCTATATGGAACAAAATTGCAATCAATACTTGAAAAACATCATTCCAAGTCATAAATATTTGAACATTTTCTCTCATCTAGATAAAGGCCCGTGTATAGTAGAGAATTGTACGGTTGAAATTTTTTCACATGCAATGCATTATGAATTTAAGAATGTTGTGAAAAAGAGTATTAAAATCTAGCTAATTAATTTATTTGCGAGAGACTGCTGCCAAGTAGTCCATATAACTCAAATGAGTTTAACAGTTCATATAACCCATATCAAATAACTATGTCATCTGGTTTAGCTCTGAGATCTAGATCAGCTTGATCCATTTATGCAGTTCTATGAATTGCCCAAAGCCAATTTGGTATTTGTCCAAAATCAAAATAAAACCAAGCATCACCCACAATTTAACACCACCATTACCAACAAGGTATTGCATCTTTTAAATGGGCGCATTGAAGATTTAAAAACAAAGGCTAGGAGGAAAACATCGCAATGACCCATACACAATAAACAAACAATATTGAACTTCCTGCATTTGTCATCGCGGAAACATTGCAGTTCCCACTTTCTCAAAAAGACAACCATAAAGCAGTTAAAACATACAAGACAAGCCAATCTGACATGAGACAAGAATGAAACTAACAAGCAAATCTGTGCATTTGGATCTTAAACCAAGAGTATGGAATATTTAACAAATAGGTAACCTCATAAGTCAATCTGTCCAAACTATCAATCGCACTATGTGCCTAACCTGGAAAAAAAGGTGACTAAGAAATACAATTTACATCTGTTATATAGTGAAGAAGGGAAATGGAACTAAGGCTTTTCAAATGTTCAAGCGATAGTACCAGATGGTCGTCCAGGGAAGTTCCAGATAAACGAGTATATTATAATATATGATCAGAGCAGAACTTGATTGAAAAGGCACAGGGGCCACATTAAAGTTTTGCAGTGAAAAATAAGAACTATACAATATCTGAGGAGGATCTAACCCCCACGAATACAAGATGCCACCCATGAATACAAATTAACATAAGACAAGTTCTTTTCAGAATAACATGAACTGTGGTAGATTGACTAAAGCTAAAGATGAAATAAAAGTAACTTCAATATATAAAAACACTTCAAGTTCAGTATATTTTTTATTGTTATACTTGAATTGTTGGCATCTATCACAATAATCTTGGATTCCCAATCAATGCTTGGATAAAAAGATAAAATTATATATAGTCAGATCATACAGAGAAAATGCCAAGAAAGGTTGAAAATTTATGATTTGTCTTTACAAAATTCAGCGGTACTATATAAGGAATATGGCAATCAAAAGCTTATATCCTTCTATTAGTCAATCAGGTAGGTGGCGGGATGAATAGGGAAGTTGTGTCAAGAACTGAATAAATTGTTTCCAGAAAAACAAAGATTTGGGCCAGTTAGCAACTACATTGATTTTGAATGGAATTGATTTATGCTTTGCTTCTGAAGACTTCCATACCTAGAGAAGTGGCAGGAAATCACAAAATTCCTATCTTTCTACTCCAAGCACAAAAATTTCATCTCTTTCTGAAAGGATAAACCTGCTGAACATCCTCTTACACCAGATTTAAGTACCACTTGGAAAACTAGAATGAAATTCTTAAACTGTAATTATCTATGATTCTAAGAGCAATTTATCACCTTGCAAATTTCATATAGCCATGAGTAAACCTATATACTAATAATGATTAAAAGAAAAAGTTAGCTTCCAGTATTCTGACTCATAATTGAAGTTCAGACCACCCATTCCCATCAAAGGTCTATTTACAGCATACCCTTCATAAAGTGGCATGCCAGCATCAAAACAACAGATGAAATATAATATTTCCATTACCACAAGGAACACCTATAACAGAGTCTTCCTGCAGTACTCAGCAGCTTTGATTCCCTAAAGCTCATGTGTTTACGCCCAAACCCTCTTCCATTATATCATGCCATTTTATCCTTTTTCTAGGAATCTGTTCCAGTAATCATGCACAAACTAAACTTCTCCTATTTATTATAAACACATGATTGAAGCCTCACATGAATAAACAAAGAATTATATCATTTCAATAACTACAGTCATCATCCTAGAGAAGATGTCAAATAAACACCAAAATGAATCATGTCATGCCCTTACAATCGACAATAAGTTTAACCCCAAGTCAACAAAAGCCTGCAATAGTGCAACCATTTATGTTTTAGTACACTGATTAATTGAAGAAACGAGGGGGTGAGTTCACGATAAACATTATAAGTTGAAATATCAGAAAATATACAATTTCTTTAAAGTTTCCAGGTTTTGGAGGAGTATATGAGTATAATATGTTGTGTCAGCAGATTCAGTTAGAAAAAAGCAGTTACGAATAGTTACTCCTTCCCCTGTCTGAAATACCTTTGTATGATGCTTTGTAATGAATCAGTTTTAGTTCCTCTTAGATTGATGCATGGTTCTCTCTCTGCAAGGACAATTGAGGGAAAGGAAGGAAAGTGGTCGCGAAGGCAAGGTTAGAACTTCTCACATATCTTCCACTTGTTTGCGGTTTTAAAATAAATGAGTAAAAATGAGAGGTAATGTCGAACAAAGTATCGCCTAGTCATTGGATTTAAACATCCAAGCAAAGGGAAGAAACTAATTACTTCAACTGTGTTTAATAGAGTGAAAAAAAAAAAAGTTAATAAGCCAAATAGATATCAATTCTACACAACATCAATATCAATGTCAAACCTTGATCATAAGAAATTATTGATTAAACAATACAAAGTTTACAGGTGATTTGTGATAACATATAGTCAAATAACTTTTTGTTTCTAAAGTCAGCGTTCCTCTTTTCTTTCCATTTTCGTTTGAATCAAACAAGAAACAAATTATCATCAGTCTATCTTCTTCTGTCTCGTGATACAGCCTTAAAAGACAAATAAATCTAACCTAGATTCTTCAGTAGGAATCCAATTCCAGTATCTCCGGTCATCAATTCCTGTAATCGCCATAGCCCGCGCCGAAATCGACATGCAAACCCTTCCCGTGACCCTGTCCAGCCACACTTCCTGCAAAACCCTAAACCATCAACAAAAGTCTCCTAACTTCCACAAAACCCTAACAAACCAGAAAACTGACCTGAAGAGCACCACCCACCTTGTGGCCGTGGTCCAAGGGCAGGGGCCGCGAGAGTAGTGCGAAGATATCCTTCTTCGTGAGATTCCGGTGGAGATCCGGCGGGACCAGATCCAGCAGATCCTGGTAGTTTCTTGGCAGCTTGGCCTCCCAGACGGAGTCCGAGGAGGCAGCGCCACGGAACGCGCGATTGAGGCGCGCGAGGTTGCATATCTCCAGCGGCGTGAGGTAGAGGAACACGCACGCCACGCAGCTCTCCGGAATGTCGCCTAGACCCGGACCGATGGTCGAACCATTCGCGCCAAGGCTCGACTGCGACGCGCCCATGCTCCCCCTCCTCCTCAGTCCTCACCTCATGGCACGCGCCCAAAACAGCACACAGCAAGGGAGAGCAAGTCCGTGGGAAACTAAACACCAATTGATCCTTTTGCGTTGTTGTTACACGGTTTCTTCTTCTGAAAGTTGTCGTTGCTGTTTTCGTCGTGTGTATGAGTCCGAAGTGTTTCGCTTTGGGTTTTGATTTTTGAGTTTCCTTTTGGGGTAAAAATAGCCGTGGGGAGAAGCTTTTGGATGACTGTGAGATCCCCTGTGGAGAGGTCTATTGTTTTTGAGTAAGAACTCGCAGTAGAGCTTCACCACGTGACTGGATCTGGAGAAAAGGAAATCTACTGCTTCCATGGCGCGAGGTTTGTTGCTGTTTATGTGTTCTCAGCCGCACTTTATTCCTAACGGAGCAAGTGGAGTCCAGAGTGATTTAGATATTATCTTATATTCATGAAACTATTCTTTTATAATTTTTTGCCTTTTAAATTTTACACTTTGATGGGTTAAATAGAAAAGTTCAAATACGAATAAAATAAAATTATAAATTTGTTTAGCTTGAATAATAAAAAATGTATAATTTTTTAATTTTTGTGATACAAATTTCGAGTATGATTTATTTTAATATTAGTTATAGTAATTTTCTGGTTTGTAATTTATAATAGGTTTATTTTCTTGTATTTTTAATTATAATTTTGGTTTAGGATTTGATTTGGATTTTAATTAAAATATATTTAATGTTTAACTTACAAGGAAATAACGAGAGTTTATAAGGAAAAAAGAAAACAGGTTCACATGAGCCATGAAAAGTGTGATTAATTTTTAAGAGAGAAAATTTAAACTAATGGCAAAATAAAAATGAATTTTAGATTTTAAAATTTAATTTGGATTTTATTTTTATTTTTCAAAAATATTATTTTCCTCTTAATCTTATTTTAAAATTTGTAATACCATGTAATTTTGAATAAATACTAACTAATTTAATTTAATTTATTTAAAAAATAATATTTATTAAAAAGTTATTAATATTCTTATTAAATTAGATTTTACTGTTCACTAATTATAGATTAAATTCATCATAATAAAATTCAAGTACTTATTATAGTGATTTATGATTACTTAAAGACCATTAAAATAGAGGTGTTTAATCAAATAATTACTCTTTAAATCATATGAGATATGATCTTGAGGTCATCAATATCACAAAATGTAAGTAAGTTTCTGAATCTCACACCACAAACAAAAACATGTCAATTACATCAAATGCATATATTAAATAATTGTTCATTTGTCCATGAACATCAATCAAGTTCCAAGTCGACATCTAATTTTATTTTCATAATTTTATGTGAATTTCATATTTCTCCATACTTTTATACAAATTATCTTAATTCTTGTAACTACCTCAATATTGTTATTTTTTTATATATAGGCTTTGAAAGGATAAGAAAAGTTGAAATGCCAATAAACATGTATATTTTGAATTTACTTTAATCATACACTATCAATTTTGGGAAGATTTAATATCAAAGCTATTGAATGGTAAGTGACAATTCCTAAAACAAATCATTTAGTGTACTTTATTCTCCAATTGAATTAGGAGTATATATTTTAGCAAAGACTTTTATTATGTCAGTCTACCATTGTGTGATTCTTATTGAAGCATACACTACTTTGGGGTGAGGTGCAGGGCAGATTATCATTTGTGAAAACTTAATATCTTACCTTCCAAAATTGCTAGGATTTAAAATCATGTCTCAAGTACCAACTATATTCCTTTAACCATGACGATTAACTTCTCAGTAAAATCTCTAGACGACACCTCTTTTTACATATTTGAATTGACTTCTCTTACACGTGATATTCATAGTAATTCATAAATTAGCATATGTAATTGACTTCTCAAGGATTTTTCTTCCTTTATTGATGGTCAATACATAACCTTATCCATATAATCATCATAAAATAAATTTATTATTTGACCTTTAATGCATATTTTTTCTCAACCATCAACATGATCTAATATACATCATATTTTATGTAATTTGGTAATTTCATATATCACAAGGTGTATTATGCGCTCAAGCTTATATTTATACATTTCATGGTGAAAAATTATATACATACAACATATGTTTATATGTTGGCCATACACAAAATATTGCATATACATTAATGTTATGATTAGAACTTAATCTCAGCATACCATAAAGACATTATAATCAAGTCCAAGTAACGTGTTTATCACAAACAATCATTAACATTTCCAAGAGTCATACCTCTTGAGACAATTTATACAATCAATATAGATAACCAATATTACATAACTAATTTCTATACTTAGCAAAATGTAAAATAATTTTCAAAAGAATCTTTAGCTAATAATAAAACATGTTGTCTTAGGTATTTAAATATTAAATTATTTTTTATCACCAAAATTTAATAAAATGATAAAGAAAAATCAATATAGCTTTTTGGAATGGTATCATGTGTCTCCGAGAGAAAATCTACAATAGTTATTAAAAATTTCATAAGGTAGCTTGCCAAAATGGACTTCTAGCTTGACTTTGTTCCAAACATTAGTCATTTTTTCAAGCATCTTAAATTCATTTTGCATGACAAAAAAACAACAACTTAAAGTTAGAAAAATAAGCATAATATAAAGGTGGATTTTAAATTTTAATTTCATCTACAACATTCCTAATAAAATGTTATTTCTTACCATACTTCAAAATAACAACATTCATTTAAATCATAATTTAAAAGTTATTATTTTTAAAATTATAAAATAGCTCTTAAAATTTATCCTCAAGTCAGTACTCTTTGTGTGTGTGTGTGTATATATATATATATATATATATATATATATATATATATAGAGAGAGAGAGAGAGAGAGAGAGAGAGAGAGAGAGAGAGAAAAAAAAAAATTATCCGTAGAACATTATTATGTCTCATGGTATAGAACTAGGTTTGCACACCATGAAAATATCCATCATTTGCTCAATAATGTTGGCCTTAACCAAATTGAGTACAATGTTGCAAGTGAAAGACTTGTCAAATCTATGCTCATTTCTTATTTTTCAAATAGCCCAAATAATATTAATTACAACAACAAGATGTCCTTAACCTTGAGAACTAAATGATTTTTTAAAAGAAGAATGCTAGCAAAAGCTATTACTCTTTAGTTTACAAGATATTTTAAAACCATATTCACAAAGGTACAACTTTAAAAAAAGTAAACATTATCAAGGTCATAAAATAAAACAAAAAGATCATAGTCTTTGATTTACCCACATGTTGGGTATGTCTAACAAAGTAAACATAAAATTTGTCACCTTGAATGCCTACTTTCATTAAAAACAAATGCATATGTATTCATTAGTTAGATTTTGAGAAAAATGTAAAATAGTGACTATAGCTTGAGAAAATGAACATGCATATAGTCTCCACCTCATCACCTTAGTCTCATTTTCAATATGCAATTGATTTTTGAAAATTCTAAACATAATAAACAAATTTCCCTTGTTTTTAAAGTATCTTTCAACTCATAAAACAAGAATAACAAGAGAAACTAATTTTAACCATCATCTTCATCCAAAAGTCAAAATAGAAAACATATTCATACATATAATAAAGCATGCAACTTGAGACAACAACTTATAACACCATGGTTGATATTCATCAACATTAAGTCCCCTTACCTTATAAATCGAACAAAACAACAATAGAAAGAAATGTGGCAAAGATATGATAATTTACACAACTCATCTTTGTCAATTTTTTTTTTCTTTGTAGGTGGATGTGTGTGTGTCGTTAGCTAAAATTAGATGTAGGATACTATTCATTTGAGGAGATAGTAACTGACGACAACATTCTAATCGCACAAAATACTGATAAAAAATAATTAACAAGGTGTTATATTAATGTAGTATAGTTAATCCGTGTTATATCTTACAATGACATAATTATAGAAACATACCAATTATTAAACATCATTTTCTCTAAAAAATGTATATAATAGTAAATGATGGGCGGATGATAATAAAATGAAAAAGCGAAAAATAAATGAAAGCAAAACAACAAAAAATTAAAATTAAATTATAGCAGAATAATTACGAAAATTAAATTGAAGCAAAATAATGAAAATTTAAATAACTGAAATTTATAAAAATCAAACTTAGTGCTTTTAATTAAACTCAAAACTTTCCAAAACAAAAGTGTAGAATAAAAAATTGATTTTAATTAAAATAAAATAGTGTAGTAATTAAATTTAAAATTGCAAAAGAGATAAACTTAAATTTAAGTTAAAGGTTTAGGTTCTAGGAAAACCGAAAATTCAACCATATAAAACTGGAAAATTCAAGAGAGATTGCAAATTAATTAACAAAAGAGAACTAACTGAAAAAAGTTGCAGTAGATCTAGCTAATCTCACTAAATTAAAAACTAAACTAAAGAAAATTAGAAAAAAAAAGTGGGACATGAGAAACAACAGTTCTCACTCCGGAGAAGGAGATTGTATTTTTCTGATCTCATCAGACCTCTATTTATAGGAGATTGACTAAGAGAAAATAATCTTGAAATTAATTAATAATAAAAGTAAATGTTTCTTCAATTAAAAATTTACAGGACTGGATTATTGCGTGATGATAGATTTCTGGGATTGATTGGAGCAATTCAGATTCTTTCCTAATTTGAGTTGTTCCAGTGTTGATTTGCATTTAGTTCTTGATTTCCACAGACCTTTAATTTAGTTCAATTAGATCCCGCAACAATTAATTTGATTAATTTAAAATTTTTAATTGTAATGTTCTACAAGTAGGTTGCACAAACAAATTTTAGCTTTGGAGAAGAGTGAAACTCAGTTGCATATGGTGCTTGCTATAAATTTGGGTCTTTATTTCAATCAATTTGGCATAAGATAAAAGAAAGAAAAAAAAAAAAACAATGCATGAATGTAATGCAAAGATGGATACTAATGTAAACGCTAGTGACATCCTAAAAACTACAATGGTCAGGAAAAACTTCATCAATCAGAAGTGAGAGAATAAAAAATATCAAAATATTAACTCACAAAGTATCATCATAATCGAGTATGAATTAATTCAAGGGAACATCCTCTTGTTGTCAAGTGTTTATTCTACTCTCTCAAGTGTTTAAGGTAAACCACTCATCATGATATTGTCCTTTACCATAGGCTTGAAAGATATCTAAATTCCCACCATTCAAACACATACCACAATAGATCAATAAGACTTTTTCTTGGCTTGTAATGGTGCTAGGATTAATGGTAAATTAAAGAACATGGATCAATGTACCTCAAAGCTTTGCTCCAGTTGCATCTTTGAAAATGGTTGT